CCCAGCCGGCCCGGCCGGTGCGGTGCACGGAGCGGCACAGTGCCCAGGACCTCCCGCACGCCTCACACAGCGCCCGGCCCAGAGAGCGAGGACGGGGACCTGTCCCCCTTCCCTGTGCCGCCTGGCCACCACCTGCCCCTGGGGCTTGCAAGTGGGCAGGCTTCGGGGAGCCAGGCGGGTACTCACAGGGCTCTGTACTCCGAGATCAGCTTCAGAGAGAGCCTGGGAGGTAGAGAGCAGCCAGGGCCTCGCCGGGATGTTTCCTTTCACCCTTTCGCTGTGAAGCAGCGGAAGCCCAGGGCGGTGATGCTCTCCCTCTGCCCCTGCAGCCCATCAGCAGGGGATCGCGGTCCTGGAGAAGGAGCTGGCCCAGCTGAAGCTGCAGGACATCTCGGGGGACTTTCGCATCCGGCACGTGGGGAAGGTGCACTATGAGCTCTCCAGGTGAGCCCCGCCAGCGCCCCGGAGCAGCTCGCTGCCCCCCAGCCCACACGAGGGCAGGAGGGGTGGGGGAGAAGGGGGAGCCCCTGGGGCAGCAGGGACCATCCTGACCCCTCCACGGCTCCCCGAGGTGTTGGCCCTGCCCTCAGTGCCCGCAGAGACGCTCCTGCTTCGCCCCTGAAGGGGGAAAAGGGAAGCGGGGGGACGGCACTCTGAGTGCGGGGGGGGGTTTGCGCAACCAAAGCCCAGGCGGTGGAGGTGGCCTTGTCCCCAGGAGCAGGGCACCCATCCCCGACTCGGAGCAGGAGCCCAGCCCCTGCGGAGATCCCAGCTCCTCGCGCTCCCTCCCTCCCCAGCCGTGTGCCCTGGGGCAAGGCACCCCCTCTGAAGTGCCTTTTCTCTTATTTTTTGTTTATTTATTTTTAGCTTGCACCTTCGAGGTTTCCACTTGCCGTACTCACGGATCTCCCTGGTCCCCAGCGTTGGGCTGCAGGTCTCCATCTCCAACGCCTTCGCCGAGGTGGACGGGAACTGGCGGGTGAAGCTACACTTCGTGTGCGTGCTGGGTCCCTGCTTCCCTGCTCAGCTGCTTCGCTCTGCACCTCCCTCCCTGGGCCTGGACAGGTTTTTTCTCCTTTCCCTCTCCCTCGTGTCTGGGCAGCTGTTGCTTTGCTCTCTCCAGATGTGCTGGCGTGTCTCTCCCGCAGCTGGGCTGCAGCAGTGAAGCCACTGAGATGGACAAAACAGGGTGGGAGGCAAGAACAAGGTGGACGATGGAGGAGCTGCGCATCACCTCTCCTGTCTCTCTGCCACCTCTGCTACTTGCTCTCAGTCCTCTCTATTCAAAGGTTACCTGCCCTAGCTTACGTTCCTGTCAAATTTGGTTCCCTGCGTTTAAAAGCCTCCTCGGCCTCCTCTGGGCGTTCACTGCAAGGGAGAGCCTGAGCCGGATAGATCCATCCCAGCGCTGACTTGGGGTCCCTTCCCCAGGAACGGGCACTTGGAAATGTCCCTTTCTCGACCTCCTCTCCCTGCAGCCGGGACCACGGTTCGTTTGACCTGAAGGTGGAGAATGTCTACATCAAAATCAGCCTGAAGCTGGGCAGCGACGCCTCCGGGAAGCCCACCATTGACACCTCCGACTGCAGCACCCGCATCTCCCAAGTCCGAGTACGCTTTTCGGGCAAGTTTGGGTACGTAACTTCCGCGGGCAGGCCCAGAAACACTGCACGTCACCCCGTCTGCCGTGGGAACGCGGCTGCCAGGCCCTGGTGCAAGGAAGAAGATGCTGGCGCATCTGCAGTCGCTTGGAGGCTGCCCGTTCTGCCCGCAGGCAGCCGGGCTGGCACACCGCTGGTCCGGTGTCTCCGGACTCTTGTGGTACCCTTCTCATCCAGGTGTGCAACTGAACGAACGAAAGCCTGGTCTGAATTTGTCCTGCTGTGGCTGCGATTTAAGGGAGATGAAGGCAGTCACTAGACTTGTGTCCATGTGGTTGACAACCAGGTCTGCTCGCAAACGCAAACCCTGAGGCAAAGCTGGGCACCGGGCTGGTGTGGGAGCGACGTTCCCCGTGTCCGCATCTCTAGCGTCTCCCTCTCCTGAGCGAGTGCTCCTGCTGCAGCCTCTGAGCTGAAGCAGGGCTCCTCTCTGTTCTCCTCTGCAGATGGCTTTACAACCTCTTCCACAGCGCTATTGAGTCCACCTTCCGGAAGGTCTTGGAGAGCAAGGTACGTGAGCGAGGGAGGGCAGAGCTCTGGGTGTTTCTGGTGGTCTTCAGCCCTCGCTTGTAGCTGATGTGCCAGCAGGATCGGAGCACGCGCAGGAGTTACCCAGAGCCAGAGCGACCGGGCGCTGCCGGTCTGGTGCAAACCGGAGGAACGGACGTTGCTAACTGCAGTCTCCGTAGCGTCCTGTGGCTCAGGATGAATTTGAAACTTGCAGCCTTTGCCAAAACCCAGCATAACTGGTTCCTAATTAACAAAGACTTTTCTTTCCATGTGGTCAGTTAATTAGATCTTCTGCCTCGGCCAGGCTCACTGTAACAGAGGAAACCTGACCGGGGCTGGCCTTAAAATGGCCGCACTCCTGCACGCTTTGGGGAGCACGGGGGGAGAAATTCTCATTTCTGGATTTCAGACGCTTGCCGCCTTGTTTTAACGGGGTGCGTCAGGAAGGCCCTGGCACCGGCTGCCTGGTACAAAAGCCAAATGCAGGGGACCTGCAACAAGACATGGAAACAAGCTGTTAGCAGTAATTACTACAAGGCTAACTGGCACGAGTTACAGCCTCCCTGGATGTGAACCTTGCTCGGGAAGGGGGCAGTTGGAGAATGGGCGAATCCCGCTCCCGCAGCAGGTCCCACCCTGCCCGGGCGCCGTTCCCGATGCCGTGCAGTGGCGTTCCCAAGGCCCCCAGGAGCCAGGGCAGCAGATGGGCTGGCAGCGGGGTGAAGCCGGGGCTCAAAGGCCTTTTCTGCTGTTTTGCCTCCTGGAAGGAGAGCAGCTCTGGGACTCCGCGGGGAGCTCTGCCGCCCTGTGCTCTCCTCCGAGCCCCCTTTGTCCCGTGCATGTTTCTCAGTGTCTTTCTCCACGTGTGAGCTGGTGCGAGGGGCGACAGGCGGGAGAGGGCAGGGGCTGGAGGGCACCGGGATCCCGGGGCACAGCCCCGTCTCAAGCCAGCCCCGGCAGCCCACATCTGCCTCCTGCTCTCGCTGCACATGTGAGGGCAGTCCTCGTGCCCCCAGTGCCAGGGGGACCTGGCCACCGGGAGATCCCGGTCACTGGGATCAGGGCTGCGTGGCCGTCTGCAGCTCCATCCTCCCAGGCAGCGGCGGGGGGGTTTCAGACAGACAGAAGAGCAGTCAGCCCCCCCTTCCCCGTCGATAAGGCCATGCCCAAGGCTCTGTCCCTCCTCTTCCTCCCCGGAGCTGCACAGCCAGCAGCTGCGTTGCTGTCAGCGTGGTCGCTGCTCCTCCGGAGCTCTGCATCTCGGTGTCGGCTGCTGCAGGCTGGATGCCCAGCCAGCCAGATGATGGCCTGATCCTGCCTGGCAGTCCCTGTGCCATTATGGGGAAAGCATCGGAAGCGCTTGTGCAGATTGATGGGGAGCTGCCTGCGTGTGCTGAGGAGCGTGTGGGGCCCGAGGAGCAGGGGGTGGCCTGGGGACAGCAGGGAGGGGGTCCTGACCCACAGCCCTGGGCAGGGGACGGCCGTTTCCTGGGTCAGTGTTTAGCCTGCAATTAAATCCTAACTTATGTCGAGGCTTCACCCAAGGATGACAGTGGCGGAGGGCTTTGCTCTTCTTTCCTGGCAGCACAGAGCTGCAGGAACTGGGGATGGCTCTGCTTTGTGGGAGCATTTGGTGCTCCTGCCCCTGCAGGGCTGGGTTTACTCTTTCTGTCGCTCCCCTTCAGCTCAGACTTGGCTGCTCAGCACAATCCATTCCAGCACGGGCTGTGGGGATAGTCTGGGGGCACACGGGGGATTCCTTCCAAGGGCCTCGATGAGCTGAGCTGTGTGTGGGGAGCTGGCTGCAAGCAGATATTTGCAGGTATAAGCCTGGCTTGTATCCTGGACACTTAATTCAGGTGCTGTCCGATGAGTAGAGACAAACGTCACTGCGTGCTCTTTTATTTAAGCAGGCTTTTGCAAGGAGTAAAACTGGCACCAGGCAGCAAAGCGGAGCGGACGGTGAGGCTTTGGCCCAGGGGATGTGAACACACCACCCCCGGCAGAGCCACCCGTGCTCAGCTTCGCTGCCTTTCTCGCCCGCAGGTCTGTGAGACCGTGGCTAATTCTGTGCGCAGCGACCTCCAGCCTTACCTCCGGACCCTGCCAGGTACCGGGCGGGGGCTGCACGGGCTCCTAGGGGCAGTTTTTCCTCGCATTGCCCAGCCAGGACAGTGTTGTACCTTGGGCCCACTCCCCATTTCGCTGTATTTCTGCACCCATGCTGGGAGCTGGGAACACTGCAGCAGCAGACACTTGTCACGGTGCACCCTGTCCGGCCCCGGTGCTGGCGGGGGCACGGGCTGCCTCAGCCAGGGGACCCGGACCGTTCCTCGGGTCCAGGAGTTAGGCGGCACGGCTGAGAAACAGTCAGGAGGGAAATGTGGGTTTTGCTTCTTAGCAGGAGCAAGCACACGTGAAGCTGGCACTGGGCTGTTGCACCGGGAAGCCCAGGCGTGGCACTGCCTGGAAGCCAGCGGAAGGAATCTGCTCCCGGCTTTCCCGTGCCACCTCCTTCTCGCTCATCCTTCTGTCCCATGTTTTACAGTCACAGCCAGGATAGATGCCATGGCTGGGATCGATTACTCCTTGGTGGCACCCCCAGCCGCTACTGCCCAGTCCCTGGATGTGGACCTGAAGGTGAGAGGCTGCCCTGGGAAAGCTGGAGTCGGGTGATGCTGTCGCGGGACGCGGGTGGGGAGCCAGGGCCAGGCACCTCCTGCAAATGCTGTTTGGCAGCTCTGGTCAGCAGGTGACTTCCAGCACCCTCTGCTCTCCTGCTTCACCTCCTTCCCTCCTCCCAGGGCGAATTCTTCTCCCTGGCCCACCGCTCCGCCGCCCCCTTCCCTCCGCTGCCGCTGGCCTTGCCCCCAGATCACGACCGCATGGTTTACTTCGGGGCCTCCAGCTACTTCTTCAACACCGCCAGCTTTGCCTACCACGCAGCCGGGGCGCTGGTCTTCGAGATCACAGACGCCATGGTGAGCAGTGGAGGTGGGACGGGGCTGTCCCTGTGCCTCTGGGGAGCGGGTCCAGTTTGCAGAGGAGCTCCGGCGGCAGCCTGTGCTCTCGGACCTCCCCAGCGAGCTGCCCGCAGCGGGAGCTGGGGGCTGCGGGGTGGGGGG